TTGATAGCTTGAACTGCTTAAACTACATCGAATCAGTAAACGAATTTCTAAAAAGGGTTTAAACTTCATTTTTCCTAAATTAATAAAGAGAATTAGCTTTCCTTTGAATAATTGCCCCATGTTGGCTTATTGACTGAATGTCTCTATGTGTTTATTTTGGAACGTGTCGAACGCCTCGGCAGATTAAATAGATGCATCTATAGGCGCGCCGTCGACCCTCGGCAAGTGCACATTTCATTTCTGTTGGAGCGGGCCATCGCCTCGGCATGATTTGCGCATGATTTATATATCGTTGCCTGAGAATTTTATACGTTGATGCTGCCTTTCAAGGCTTGAGATAAATTGATAAAATAAAGAAAAGTAAACCTTGAAAATCCTTTATTATTTGTTGAAGGTATATTGCCTGTTTTACAGCTTTGCGAGTTAGAATTGTTATATAAAATCCCTGATTTCCTCACACATTTAGTATATTATCATTGGACCGCTAGTAAGTGTCAAAGTTGACCATCTCGTCTCTACTTCTTCGAGATTAGGCGGGATACTCATTGAGTACACGTTGTTTATGTACTCATACTACATTTCTGTGCATTTTTGTTGCAAAGGTATATCTATTTCTAGCAGCCCACTGGGCGTAGCAGCGCGGATGATTTGGGGCTAGGTGAGTTGCACTATTCGAGGCGGCCCGCAGCTAGTATAGCCCTCTTTAGTACATTGTATTTATTCCCTGTCCATTGTATTCCGGACGGATGCTGTATTTTACTTCCCTATCAGTAGATGCTCATGCACTTGTGACACCGGGTTCTGAGATAGTTTGAAGTATTGTATTAACTACTTATCATTTAAATTTGACTTGAGACTATATTCTTTAATATTGCTAAACTTGAAGGAAAATCATAGATTTCAGAAGTATTAAAACGAGAATTTGATTAAGTAACTTGGCTGGCTTGCCTGACAGCAGTGTCCGGCGCCATCACGACCCTTAGTGGATTTTGGGTCGTGACAAGCTAGCTAGTTGCAAATTTATTGATTGTAATTTCTGTGAGATCAGAATTTACTGGAAAATAAAGTGGAAATAAAGTAAAAGGGCTTTGGCAAAGACGAAACAAAGATGTAAAGGTGCTAGTTTAGCATGTTCTTGCCCATGTAACTGAATTCAAGTTGTGAGAAATAATAGAAAACATTTAGGCTCAGAGAAATCATAACAATTTAACATTTGACTGTCATTCCTTGTCTGTATATGGCTAATGTCATGACATTTGTGTTTTATCTATGCTCTGTAGAGTCCACAAGATGCTGTGACATTCTGGGTAATGAAGCTCAGATAGTTCAGGTACTCATTTGCATATTTTGGTTTCGCTGTAAGAGAAAAGTTTATATGGTTGATTTGTTGATTTTTGTATTCCTTTTCTTCATCTATGTTTCAGATTATGTTGAAGCCGCAAGAAAAGATTATTGCTAAGCATGGTAATTTGCTAATTCTGTTATCTCTTGAAGAGATCTCCTGCATGGTATCACAACCATTTAGGGAAACATTTGCTCATAAGAGGTTTCAGTTGTTTCCATTAGTTAATGGCATGTCTAACACATTAAAATATCTTCGTTGTCCATGGTGTTTGATTCAGATATTGGAGAATGAGCCAGTTCTGATGGGCTTTTATAAAATCTACAAACTTGAAAATCTAACTGACTGGATATTTCCTCAAGTATGAATTAGAATATGTTGAATGCATTAGAAGTTGTTCTCGCAGCATACTAGCTTATTACTTTCTGGGAATAGAAGCACATTGCCTTATGAAAATAGGAGGTTTTCTTACCTGTCGGCCACAGTGGCGTACGCAGGATTTTTCGTAAGTGATGTCACTATTTAAAGAGTAAACAAAGGAGTAAATAATTTATAATATATATCATATTATAAAAAGACAACTTAAATAACAATATAAGCAAAAAGCTGCATCTTTTGTTATGCTATATTCCAATCAATCATACTCATCAAACCATTGAGGATTAAAGCGATGCAATTTACCATAAAAATTTCTTTGAGGAAATTTGTGCTCTCGAGGTTGGAAAGGACCTCTTTGAAGATACTTTCTTCTTATTGCATCATGGTCATTTAGCTGATATTTTTGAATTGCTAATCTTTCTCCAGGATCAACCTCTAAAGAGCTTAAATTAACTCTTTCGCTTTGTTGATCTTGTTCCAACTCACTAGCTCTTTCTTCTAAGTTAGATAAATCTTGAGATGTTGAACTTGATTTTGGAATTTTGGGAGTTGTAGGAAAGTATCTCTTCATTGTAATTTAATTTGAATAAAAAATTTTGTACCCACATTAATCTTTAGATAAACCCTAAATAAGTTCATTGTAACTATAAAATTGTTGTCTTCAATAAGGCAATAACCCACAATTTCATTAACCTGCAAAATCAGTAAACACACCCACAATCATAAATTCAAAATTAACATCACAGATTCATAATTTTGTTCATAAACAAATAAATAGGAAAAAGCAAAATCACTTAATAAAAAATAATCATCGGCAGAGAGGGAGAGATTTAATACTAACCTGGAGGAATTTACATCCACTACTTCTTTGGAGTTTGAAAAGGGGGCAAGTCAAAATTCTTTTTATTCCAAAGATAAGGGTTGGTTACTGATTTCCTGTACAATGAGTATTGGGTCAATAGCAGCCCACGCTTGTTGAAAAAGTCCACGTTTTTAGCATCAACATAGGGTTTTAAATTAATTGAAAAAGTCAAAGAGTCAAAGAGTCAAAAAGAATTTCGCTGCAGCTAAGGGTGTTCGAACCCCTGACCTCACACACAATTCCAGGTGGTAATAACCATCAGACTACTAAGCTGCTTTGTTGCAAGGGATGTCACCTTTATTCATTTTAGCTGGTATATTTGTTTTACTTATATATATATATATAAAATAAAATATTTTGGCGAAGTGGTGTCCCGTGATATCGCTTGGGTCCATGTAAATCCGCCCTTGGTTGGCCACATCATATGCAAGGAAGACAAGCCATGAAATCATGATAAACAATAATGATCAAGTGGTGATGTCCCACTAGGTATTGGTTTTCCTTGTAGAAGGTTGAGCAGCCGAAGCATCGAAATGCTCCCCACCTAAAAAATAAGAAAAAATAATGTAGATCTACGTATTAAATCTTTTAGTTGGTTTATCACTGTTCTAATTTGGTGGGATTTAGGATGGAATCGAATAGCGAATTCGCTTGCGGTTAAGACAACTCCTGCATCTCCTACCTAATGCAATTGAGCGACCTGCCATTTCTTTCCTTCAATAATGCCTTAGCTTCACTTCAAGACGCTATTTACCAAAGAAACACTGCCTTTTTCTTTTAATGGAAGAAGCCGAAGGGCTGAATGAGCATTGCGGTAACGAGCTGTAAGAAAGATGAGCAGGGGGAGCATGGTGAGATAGATAGACGTCCAATCCTACAGCAGCTAGTTGCTCGGCCTTAGTCTTGGGCTGATCTCAGACTTCAATGATGACTACCATTAGTTGTCGTACTTGTCTCATCTCTGTATATTATTCTTTTCTATTGACAAACAACCACTGTAAGATTTGGTTGCATTAATGAATTGTTCTCAATGCTTGCAGTTTTCTGAATCTCATTTGACATCCTTGAAGGAATAACGTGTTCTTATTTGATTCCTGTAAATATCTTTTTTACACTACTTAGAAGTAAAATCAGTAGCTCTGACGTGTGTCAAAGAAAAGCAAGTAACTTTTTTTTTGTTGCTTTTCTATCCTCTCCTCAACGGTTTCTATTGTTGGGGATTGGGGGGGAGGGGCCAGGGTCTTTGATGTCAAAGAAGGGAGGTTCATTTTCTCAATTATATATAGTCAGTTGCCATTGTTTATATGGATTATATCTTGTTTACACTAAAAGATATTTCATTTTACTCAATGTCTTAATCCAACTATCATAAAATTACAAAAAGAATTCATCCTTTTTATTATTCACTCTTAAGTGGCAATACTTTGCAGGGTCCATGTGCTACACGTCTTCTTCTATTCACTTGGAAAATGTCTTCGCCACTTAAAATGATACAGGTGTCTGGCAAAGGCTTTTTGGAAAGAGTATTTCAAGTGTGGTTCTCCAGGATACGGGTACAACTGATGGATTTGTTGGAATTGCTGCGCCTTCTTTGGCAAGAATCCTACCAGTTTGTTCTCATCTCAACTACGTTCCTTGTTTGGTTGGTTATATTATGTTAGATGGACAATTTTTTTTGCCTTTGCGTACCTATCTTGAACGGGTATCACATGGACATGGTACATCATATGGTCCTTCGGCGTGTTGTATTTGCACCTGTACCTAATACTTGTATCTGATTCCATCATTCCATGTAATGTAGGGTCTTATATTTCCTATTTCCTTATAGATCTAATTTTAGTTCTAGTATTATTAAATCAATTGTTTTTTTCTTTCTTTTTTTATCTGATGCACTGACACTGTACAGATTGATCTAGCAATGTTTGGAGGTGAAATCTTATGCCAGGTAAAGATTTGTCATTATCTCTTTTGTTCCATCCTTGTGCTAAGGTACAATCATCCCTATTTTCTTTGTGGTTTATTTAAGCTTTCCAACTGGATCATCTCTTTTATTGATATATTTTGTAGCCAGATGCATTTCTATGCTCTATCAATGATGTCAAAGTCAGAAATCCTTTGACCAAAGGGCACGTAACAT